CAGGTCGGCCAAGAGGGCCCGCAAAGCAGGTAGGAGGGGCTGCTGCGGCTGCTTCTGCTGCAGCTGGTGCACAATTTTGCTGCTGCTGCACTGTATAGAACAGGCCGACCCGACGGATGTGACAATCGCTCCAGGAGGATGCTGGTGCGGCTGAAGCTGCTGCTGCTGCTGCTGGCGGCGCTCCTCAACAAGCCTTAGGAAGTCTCCAATGCGCCTGAGCGAGGCGACCTCGATTGCGCTGCTGCTCTCTGCAGCTAGTGCTGCTGCCGCTGCTGCAGCCGTAGTTGGAGCTGCTGCAGTTGTAGTCAATGCTTTTACTTCTGCTGCAGCGCGGGCCTGGTGGGGCCTCGGAGAAGGCGAGTCAGAGCCTCTCATTTTCCTCGCAGAGACGGCGTCGCTGTTGCCGCTTTTTCCGTGCTGTTACTGCTGCTGCTTTAGCTTGTGCCGCTGCTGCCGTTGGTGCTGCTCAGCTTAGACTACGGCCTAGCTTTGTCTGCCGCGTAGAGTTTAGCCGCTGTGGGACAAAAGACCCGCAGCTGCAGGTGGCGCATCTCCCGCCCTTCCGAAGCTGCTGTGGGAGCTGCTGCTGCTGTGTACTGCTGCTGTTGCTGCTGTTCCTGCTGCTGTGGCTGCTGTCCGTCTCTTGGCATCTCGTTGCTGTCCCTCTCTGGTATCCGTCTTCAAGGTGTGCGCTATCTGGAGCTACGGCTGTAACTGCAGTAGAGTCGTTCCCCCCTCGCTACTGCTGCAGTCAGCCTGCTATTTTTCTCCTGGTGTCCTTGCGTCTTCCGATTAAAGGAGGCAGCAGTGTGTGTATAGACCTCAGGGGTCACACAGCTGTCGGCAGCAGAGATGCCGCTGTCTGGATGAACGACTGCTGCTGTTGCTCTCGCTGCACTGGAAAACCATAAGACGAAGAAGGAAAAATCAAACCTAACGCAGACTTGCTGCTGCTTAGACAGGTGGAGCCTTGGCTGAAGAGTAGCAAGCTGCCTCTACTGGCGTTGCTGCTGCAGTTGCTGCAGAATGCATGCAGCTACACTAGCAGCAGCAGCCAGCCGTCGAGTGTCTGAACCTCGAACCGCTGTCAGCTGCAGAAGTTACATGTTTTCATTTTTACTTATCTAGATCCTGCGCCTCTCGGAAGCCTCACCCTTGGCCTGTGTTGCGGCTGCTGCTCCTGCTCGTTCCAGGAGGCGGACCGATCCCACGGGCGCCTTCTTTGCGCTCTGCAGGCAAAGCTTGAAGCCCACTTCGACGACTTGGCCTTCGAGGAGGCCTTCGGAGCAGCAGCAGGACAGCACGGGCAGCACCGGCAGCTCCGGCAGCAACGAGAGCAGCAACATTAGCAACAGCAACAGGAGCCTCATCAGGACTAGATGCTGCGAAACATCGCTGCAACCACGGCCTCCCGGCACGCTGAGCTGCTTCTGTGCCGCTGCTGTCTGCTTCAGAGACAGACGGTAGCGCCTGTCGCTGCAGCAGCAGCTGCAGCAGCAGCAAAGCCAGCAGTGGCTTCCACAAAAGCAGTTACACCGGCAACAAGCTTGCAAGAGGTGCAAGCACGGGCAGGAACACCCCCAGGGACCTCGCAGACGGTCTCTTGCAGCAGCAAGTGGGCCCAAAAGGGAAGGCCTCCCGCCACTTGGCACTGCACTTGCTGCAGCTGCTGCAGCTGCAGGCACGAAGCCCGCAGCAGCGACAGCCGCTTCAGTCTTAGGGAGGCAAGGAGGAGTATCAACACGCTCTTCAGCCAGGTATGAAGGAAGCACTGTGTAGGCTGCTGCCGCCGCTGCTGCTGTTGCAGTGCCTACAGCTTCATGCGGTGCTGCTGCTGTTGCTGCTGCCGGTGTTGCTCTTGCCACAGCTGCCTCCAAGTAGCCCCGCAGCCGTTTCTGCCAATGGAGTGACCGCGGACGCTGCGTCTCTACAGCAGCTGCAGCAGTGAGCCAACCCCCTGCCTGTTTGATGCTGCAGCTGCTGCTGCCAGGACTGCTATCGTAGCTGCTGCTGCTGCCGTTGTTGCTCTTGCCGTATTTCTGCTGTCACTGTTGCTACAGCTGTTGCTGCTGCTACCGCACTGTTTCCGGTGCAGGAGCTTAGCTAACCAAATTGCCAAGGCCTGTGAGTACTATGGCATCCGCGTGCAGCAGCAGCAGCAGCAGCAGCAGGATCATGCTGCAGGCCTCCGCGTTGGCGTACTCCTGCCTCCGTCCCCTGTGGCCCTTGCTGCAGTTGCTGCAATTGCCGCTATTGACGGAGTTGCGGCTCTGCTACCTTTCTGTGATGCTGCTGTTGCTGCTGAGACTGCAGCTGCAGCAACTGCTGCTGCAGGAGGCGTCGCCGCAGCCGGTGGAGCAGCAGCGAGGCCCCTAGCAGCAGCGGTTGAGGAAAATGGAGGAGAAATGTTCTGCACAAGACCTAATGCATGCAGCAGCAGCGTCATAAGCGGCAGCAAAAGTTTGCGGCTGCTGCAGCAGCAGCTAGCTGAGGCCAGGACGCAGCTGCTGCTAGTTCATCCGGCCCTTGCCGCTGCTGCTGCTGCTCTCTGCGAGCATTTGGGGGTTCACGTGTGCATATGCAGTGCTGCAGCCCCAGCAGCGACGGACATATGCCGTCAACAGCAGCAGCAGCAGCAGGCAGCAACAGCCGCTGAAACGGCGCGGCTGTTTGTTAAGAAGGGCCGCACATACAGCCGCAGTCTTGCAGTACGTACGAAGTGGGTGCCTTTGTGCAGCAGCGATGGAAGCCCTTTGGGGCCTCTGCGAGAGCTCAAGGATGCGCTTGCAGCTGCTGAAGGCGCCTGCAGCAAGAGCAGCAGCAGCAGCAGCAGCAGCAGCGACACCAGCAGGAGAGCGAGCAGCGCTGATTACAGCAGCAGCAGCTGCTGCTGCAGCAATCTGCAAAGCAGCAACGTGTGGAGCCTGCTGGTAGAGGCGAGCTGCTGTTGGGGGAAACCAAGAAAGGTGCTGCTGCCAGCAGCAACAGTTCAACAGCAGCTGCAGCGCAATGCAGAACAGCTGCTGCAGCACATCATTCCAGGCGACACTGCCATTGTAGCTGCTGCGCCTGCTGCCATCACGAAGTCAAAGCTGCTGATGGCAGTCATCCTCCCTCTGCTACAGCGACAATCTAGCATGCTGTTGCTCACCAGGAAGCCGCAAGATCCTGTACCGCTCCCGCTGCAGGTGGCACTGGAGCAGCAAGCTGCTGATGCGGCAGCAGCAGCACTATCTGCTGAGACGGCGCGCGCGCGTGCTGCAGCAACATGGCACTTGCTTCTGCAGCAGCAGCCGGAACAGCAGCAGCAGCAACAGTGGACTTTGGCAATGGACCTTGAGACTGCCACGGCGATGCTGGCCATATATGAGCGCGCGGCTGCAGCAGCAAGAGTCCCAGCAGCAGCAAGAAGTGCACTAGCCGTGGCATCGGAAGATCTAGTAGCTTCTGCAGCCGAGCTTGCTGCAGCAGCACGGCAGAGACTTAGCTGCTGCATTATCTGCACCGACGAAGGCGATGTTACTCAAATGGCTGGCCAAACGCCACAAGACAGCAGCAGCAACACCAGCAGCAGCAGCACCACTGTCTCTACTGCTGTCGCAGAAGCTCTGCCTGCAGCACGGGTGGCTGCAACTATTGAAGGGTGGGTACCCTTTGCCCGACGGGAACTGACGGCAGCAGCAGCAGCAGCGATAAGCGCAGTAAGAGCAGCTGTTGCTGGCAATGAAAACAAATGAGATCCTTTGTGTGTACTTGTGTGTGTCTGCACCTGTTTACGCGTCTGCTGCAGGTGGCAGCAGCTGCTGCCTACTGCCGCAGCAGTGCTGCATGTGCTAACGATAACAGAAGTTGGCGTCGTGGCCGTGCAGCGGCAGCAGGGCAACGCAGCGGATGGAGCAGTGCCCCCAGCACCTCTGGAACGGGCATCGGCAGCACTTGCAGAAGCGGCAACAGCGGAGCCGGCATCGGCAGCAGCGGGGCAGGAAATGGGAATTGCTCTGGGCCAGCTGGTGCCAGGCGTTGCTGCAGCCACAGCAGAGAACGGCATTCTGCTCTTCAGCAGTAGCAGCAGCAGCAGCAGCACCTACTTTGGGAGGCCTGTAGCAACAGCCGACGCATTCGGAGGGCCGGCGGCCCTTGGCGCCCGAGGGGCCCCCGCTGGCTGGTTCTTCCGGTCTGCACTGGTGGGGCGTGTGGACGAGTTTGGAATGGTGCATGTGACGGGCTGTACGTACAGCTTGGCGCAGCAACAACCGCTGCAACGGCCGCTGCAGCAGCGGCTGCAGCAGTGGCAGTGGGGCCTCCCTCGTATGGAACGGCTCATTGAAGGATATGTACACAAGGTGCCCATTTCCGGCAAGGAGTGGGGCAACTATCATGCCAAGAAGAGAAACTGGAAGCGCATGTTCTAATCTGCTGCAGCTTCTGCTGCGGCAGGTGCTACTGCTGCTGCGGCGGCGGTGCCCGCTTTCGCTGCAGGAGGGCCCCCGATACACAGCGGAGAGGCAGCTTGCTGCAGCTGCCCAGTGTGTGCAGTAGGAGCGCAGCTGGCTTTGGCTGGTGGCAGCTAGCCACTGGCAGTCATAACTATCTTCTGGCTGTGGTAGCTCGCTGCTTGCTGCTGGGGACTGTAGCTGTTGAGTGTGGCTCTTAGAATCCCCGCGACATGTGTTCAAGGCTACAGATCACTCCGTTATTTTAGGCTGACCAGCCCAGGAACTAGTTTTCTAGCCAGCAACGCAACTAGCTAGGCTGGTGGCTAGCCAGGAAGACGGCTAGCTAGGCCGCTAACTAGGAAGGTGGCGAGTTGGCCTGCTACCCAGAGCAATAGTCTACAGCAACATACGGCCCCAAAGCGACGGTGGTGCCTCGTGGAAGGTTTGCTCAACTGAAGCAAACAGTACTCTTGGCGCATATTCTATTAAGCCACCTTTCCCTTCAAATGTGCAAAATCCTCGTTTTAAATAAGAAGCAGGGAAAGGCTTTAGACTTTTCACATGTCAGAAGCTAAGCCTGAGGGTTTCCGTGGGCACGGGTTCGAATCCCAGCTTTGTGTAAATGTGTCTGGCGTCGTCTTTTTCAACAGTCAAGTCAATTCTGCCTAAACTCAGCTGCTGCTGCGCCATTTGCAACACCAAACGACACATTTGGGTTCCTAAACCCTGTCCGCGGAAGCTGGGGTGTATAACCACCCGCTCTAGCCGTCCGTCGGCTGCTCTTCCCAAGTGGGGCTGTATGTACACCTCGCAGAAGCCGCACAGAGGCCCCTCAGATGGAACGGAATCGGTATTGCGCGCGTTTGCTCTAGCTGCTTCATCGCAGCCGTTAGATCCAACACAAGAAGCTTCTGGAGAAGCTGCAGCGGTGTGGGTAGCACCCATATCTGGAGCAGCAGCGAAGCAGCAGAAGGGCAAATAAGTTGGCTGCTCTAATATAATGGATAGGTCTGCTTCCGTTAGTTGTTGCTGACAGCGGCTGACGAGGGGAAGCAGGTCGCGTGCAGCTTCATAATCTGTCCTTCTCATTTTCCTCAAGATGTACTTTTTGTCCTTCACCGTAAACACCACTGGGCTCTCGCAAGCAGACGAACCTTTAAGCCAGCAACACGACACGAATCCTGACGTAGAATTCGCCGACATCTTTGCTGCTTGTGCTGCTGCTTCTGGGTCTCTGTTGCTGCTGATGCTGCCGCTGCTGCTGAAGCTGGCAGTGCTCGTTTCAACACTCCTGTTCCCGCCGCTGGTGTTGGTATGGCAGCCCGTGTGCCTCAGCTGATTCTGCTATTGCTGCAGATAATCTCCGCTGCTGCCGCTGTCGTTGCCTTTCGTATAGTGGCAGCAGAGTAGGCGCGTGGTGCCATCTATTCCAGTTGCAGGGGATAATTATTATCCTTGTCTCCCCAGCCAATATTTGCAGGGGACAGCGGCCTGGAGCTTGAACAATAATTTAGTGAGAAAGATAAAGACAGGCAGAAGGAAAGAGAGATAGCTTTGCAGCTAGTTGGTGTAGGCTGTTCCTGCTCGTCGGCTGCTACATCCTGGCCCAGCAACTGTTCACTAAGCACACAGCAGCCTATCATCTATAGAGTAGTGCTATCCAAATTCAGTTGCGATTGTTCATTTTTAAAGCAAATTTTCGAAAGACAATTTTATTTCGATAGAAAGACACACGCTGAGCCCGTCGGTCTCGCAGTGCGGTGTGGGCATGCAACAGCCGCACAGCAGGTACAAACTCTAACGCAATCTCCTGAAGCTTTTACCTCACGTTATGTACGTTATGCCTGTTGCCCGAGTTTGGTGCTTATTTAGTTGGCAGCACAGAAGAATATAAAGTTCTACGACATGCACAACAACCCTGCCAATCGCGTGCTCCATCCTGGCCAAATGCTTCCCTCCAGATACGCAGGCATAAAGATATATTTTTCCAATAGATACATTATCAGCAAAAACTTATGAACACTCTCCTTTTTACATATAGTATGAGGAACAAGTCTACGTTTAGAGGATGCCAGCTGCGAGCTGTGGAGTTTACCGTCGTGCGAGGTGTCTATCAATACTTGAAAACGAAAAACGTGAAGAAAATGAGCTGAATGAGACACGCGAAATGTTGGGGGAGGCTCTACGCCGTCCACATGCATTACAACAATGTGGCTGAAAAACATAAGGCGTGCCACAGAGGATATGATTGCTAATGGAGGGAAGCGCCGGTTGCGGTTAGTCCACTTAAGTAGAATTAAAAAGAATCTCTCGGGCAAGTTTAAAACCAGCAGTACGTTTCTGATTCTCGCTACCTCAGTTTCCTTTTTCGTCGGATGCTGCTTGCGCGACACTGTCTTCTAGATCAGTTAGCTACACTGTCGTTAATTCTACAAACACACCGCGTGGGGGCGTCTAGCTCAAATGGTAGAGCGCTCGCTTAGCATGCGAGAGGTAGAGGGATCGATACCCTCGTCGTCCAGCTGAGTTAACTGGTGCAGCAATTCTCATTTGTTGCAGAACTTGCTCTAGATATCCCTAAGATAACATTGTATAGTACTCGGAGACTCTTGCTATTTTCAAGCGAATGGGATGCAACTGCGCTGCAGCCTGACCCAGGAAACTCATCACGCTGCGATATTGCCTGAACTACTGCCAGGGTATCGAAAGGATCGCCTGCATCGATATGAAACTTTAAATTAAAAAGTTTTCGGAACAGAGTCCCAATCTGACAGGTGAAGGCGCAGCGGCTGTAAGGCACCGAAAAGGCTGTGAAAGGCAGAGACCACGCATTGAGTCGCTGGGAAGAAGCTACAAGAGGTACTAAGGGCTGTGGAAAAGTTCGGTTTTATGAGCTGTCAGCTCCTCAGCAAGGGAAGTCCTATCATTTGAATATAACAAGTATGCAACCTTTTGTAGAGCTCGTCGCTTGCCTCGATTTTCGTGTTCGTTGGCTTTAAGCAGAGTGGAGAGCAGAACCAGGCTGCAGCGTGTACGCGCCTTTGACGGCCATGAACAGCCAAGTGCGTGATGTGAAGACTCTCGTTGCTCGCTCCCGTCTCTTGAAGGGCCCTTCAGTATATTGCGCAGCAGTATGAGCATGGCGAACAGTGATCTGTACATAACAATATTTCGGGGTTCAGCTCCCATTTCCTATAGTTAAGCAATGTGGATACTTTGGGGCCTCTGGAACTGAAATTTAGTGCAACCCAAAAGTCAAAAGTGAAGCAAAAAGTGTACAAAATGAAGTGGCTATGCTGGACGTTTGCCAAAGAAGCGCGTTATGCCAGAAGTGGCAGCCGCTCTCGCGTGCTTAAGCAAATATTACACATTACGCGTTGGGGGCTCATGGACAATGCACTTCACCGCACGATTCTTTTCTTCAAAGGAAAAGCATGATGGTACGGAGGCCTTGAGAGTTAATGCCTTACTGAGATCTGGGCTAGCGTGGAAACGTTTAAAGACTCAGTCGGACGTAAATTGCTTGTCGACAGCACGTAGAACAAGGCTTGATACTTATCTGCAGGCCGATGAAGCCCGGTGCAAAACGATGTTTAATTGCCATTTAGAGAGCAGGCAACGAACTCAGGTGCTGTCGGGCTCCGTATGAACCGCATGAACCCTTAATCTTTGTTTCATCTTTTAAATCAAAACCTTATGTCTGCTGTGCCAATTTTGCCTACGCTTTGAATTTCTGACCTCGCACGCCAATCACTCCGTATTCCCATATTAGTCCTATGTTGTCCATTGAATATTGCTACAGAAAGACAAACGTTTAGGATTTACTTTGTGACAACGTACTGGTGCGTAGAAAAGTCTGGTGCAGTGTACGTTTTGGCTCCAGGACTACTCCACGCTGCTGCAGAGAATCAGCACTCGATGATCCACTGACTGCCTAACCTGTCACTTCTAGGACCAGTGCATGCTCCTGAAACCATTTAGTTAAATAAAATGCATACTGAAAGGCCGTACACTTAGGCTTAAGTTCACGGAAGGTAATTTCATTATTGGTTGGGATATACCCTGTTCCACAGCGTGGTGCTACACTGCAATTCCAAAACTCTTCAAGTTTAATAAAATGCATGCGCAGCAAAACTGGTAAACAGCCTTAGTAAACCTTAATTCCAAGCGAGGAAGGAAAAATGCACGAGTTCTCTTACTGACAGCGCGCTGGGCAGCCACATTCCGTCCTGCATGTCTCCTTAGAACATTTGGATGTTGAGTGGCGTCTTACAAGAAAGCCGAGAAACAAGCTCACTCGGAACAGAATTTATAGCTTTTTCACTTAAGTTTTTACAATTCTTGTCCTCCAGTCTCGAAGCAGTTAGTCTTGGAAGGCATGCGTGTGCGTGCGGTCAGCTGCTATTTGTGGGAATCACACCTCCTGCGGGGCGTCGTCGAAGAGATTTGTCTGCCTGGAAGTGGGTTGTTACTTGTCGGCATCACATGCCCTGTCTGGTGTTGAAAGGCGACGTTGCATGGAAAGTTGGTTGAACGTGTGTGAAGTAGAGGTGTATTGATGGAGTACCTGGTTATCTGTTATTCACACTGCGTCTAATGCACCGGAACCCATGCGATCTCCGAACTTAAGAGGCGCAAGGCGCGGTTAGTACTGAGGCAGGGGACTCCGCAGGAATTCCTTTTGGGTGACGATATTGCCCTTTTGTTTGTCCCCCGAACAAGTCAACACCTCTCAACCCTCTTCTATTCACCTAAAAGATTCACCAGAAAGAGCTCACCGTCCACTCAACAAAAAGCGAACATCCCAGTTCATTTCCTTCCTATCCTCTCAATCAGACCTCCTGCCTCAACCTTCTATTTGTTCAACCCATAGCCAGCACGTACTTCCACCTACACACAGCTCGCATCGCTCTATAACGCCACTTGCGAGCTTCTGTCCCTACCTATGGGCAAAGATAAACACCCAAAATGCAAAGAGTACCCTCAACACAAACTCAAAAGCACGCAAACCACACACTCTCTCTCATTCATCCTTGAGGCAGCTTTGTCTTCTATCCTCCCCACTAATTCGCAATGCGCAGATGTTATGTCCTCTCAACCGTCACTGCAGCTCAGGGCACTGCCTCACCAGCAGTCCATTGTCGATCTCTGCAGCTCCGCGCGATGTCTCATACCTGCTTGCAGCGAACGCGAACGGTATGAAGGAGTATGTGGCCTGCCGTCGTTCATTCTGCGTCTATTGCAACGGATCCCATATGAAATCCGAAGTTGAGCGGCGCAAGGTTCGGTTAGTAGGAACTGCGGTATGGAAGTAAAGAATAAGGTGTTTTTGTTTTATGGTGTCCACTCTGTGGGGTGCTGATCAATGCGGAAGCCACAGCCAGATGAGGAGTTTGGCTGCGGAGGCGCATTTGTTAAGCAATAGCACAGATGTCCTAAGGCAAGCTCAATGAGACAGGTTAGTTTTACCCTACTGATGAATTGGATACTGCGACAGGAATCCAACTTAGTACGAGAGGAACAGTTGGTTCAGATACGTGGTTAATGCGGCTAGCTGAAAAGCTAGTGCCGCGACGCAACCATCTGTTGGATTATGACTGAACGCCTCTAAGCCAGAATCCATGCTGGCTATGCAGTGCTCCTCGCCGCCTCAATTGTTACTTGCATGTGTTTTTAGTGCCTCTTGTGCACAACATGTCACCAACGTCCTCTGCGACATGCTAAGGGTGATAATCGCAATTTCCCGCATTTGGGGCGCTACATCCATTGCAGACGACTTTGGCGCAATCAGTTACTGTAAGTGCGAGAGTAGACTTGACCTACGATCCACTAAGATTTAGCCTGTGTTGCATGATGTGTCCATTTTTTCTCCCTAGCTCCCCTTTGCTTGCTGGGATTTTATAGGTGTCTTGCACCAACTGTGGCATAACGGTAACGTTGCTAAGCTGCCCAGCTTTGCATGCGTTATCCCCGATGCGCTCGTCGTGTATTACATACACTCTCATCTCTGTGCCTTCATGTCCTTGTGCTTGTTGGTTGCTTGCTGGGTGTGCGCGCCGGCATCGAACAGAAAGACGGGTGTACAAGCAAGACATCCAGTACCGTTGCCCGATTCGCGTGTGTTATGCCTGATATGCACTCCGTGTATTACGCTCTGTCATCTCTTTTCCCTTGTGCTCTTGTGCTCTTTTCTTGCTGGGTTTGCGTGTGTGTGCAGGGTCACACTGGCATGCGAACAAGGCATTCAGTGCCGCTGCTGAGCTGCCGTGGAAGCAGCAGCAGCGACAGCACGAGCACCTGCTCAAAAACAGTGAGCAATACAGCAGCTGAACCATGACATTCAGCAGCAGGTGCGGCAGTTAGTTTTGGCTATCAGGGACAAACGGAAGACAGCAAGCACCCGTGAACATTGTAGGGGCGCTTTGCGACGAGAAAGCAGTACCTAACGCGAGCAGATGAACTTTGCTCAGTGAGGAATGCAGCAGCTGAACCATGGCATTCAGCAGCAGGTGCAGCAGTTAGTTCCTGCTATCAGGGACAAACAGAAGACAGCAAGCAGCTCTGAACACTGTAGGGGCGCTTTGCGACGAGGAAGCAATAGCAGCCCTAAAGTTTGTTTTTTGGGGAATGAGTTCAGGCAGGCTCCTGCTGCTGCTACCCCTGCTGTGGCTGCTGTTCCTGCTACTTCTGCTGCTACTACTGCTGCTAATGCTGCCAATGCTCTAGCTGGAAATACTTTAGGTGGGGAAAGGTGCCCAACAACGGCACAAGCAGGAGTAACAGCTGCTGCAGCACCGTGTAAGACGGGGGAATCAGCGTCAGAAGCAAAATCAAGTTGTAGGAGAGCTTTTGTAAAACGGTCGGAGGGGAAAAGAGGTCAAGAGAAGCAGAGAGGAGACTGCCACTTAGCAACACGCCAGGCGTATGGTTCAGGTTTCAGCGCCACGCCAGGCGTATGGTTCAGGTTTCAGCTCTCAAGGTTTAAATTGTAAGGTTTAGATCATAAAATTCAGTTCCTGACGCCTAGAGCTTGCCGTTCTTACGCGTTTTGTTTTGCAGTTGATGTGAGTGATCAGCAGAAGTGGCCCTGCTAGTTGCTCATTTAGCGGCAGCAGCAGCAAGAGATGGCATCAGCAAGCCCCCTATTGTAGCAGGTGTTTTTTTGCAGGGCTTGGCGTCAACATATGCACGTGGTGCAGCAACAGCAAAATCAGCAGGTTCTGCATCAGCTCAAGTGTAGTTCATCACCGGGAACTACTCGCAGCAGCAACTTCGAGGTACTGCTGCAAAGTCAGCTAATATCGAAATAAAAGAGCAGAGCAGCGGTAGCAGATCTGTCACAGGAACTGTGGGTCGTAATTTGTTTGGGTTTTCTTCCATTAAATGTATGAGCGATTATAAACAAATTGCACGGGAGACCTTCCCTCAATGCATAACCGATGATTATAATGTAAACCAAACCGCACAGAAGGCTGGGTTTGCTGCTGCTGCTGCTGTTCCTTTCGGTGCTCAGGCTGCTGATGCACCTCTGCTCCACATACACTGCAGCCTGATGCAGCATGTGTAATTCCACTGGTGCGGCTGCTGTTTCTGCTGCAGCTGGTGCTTTTGCACATCCGCATCTGCTGTCGCAGTGCCACAGTGCTGCTGTATCTTTGCAACAGCTGCCAATGCATTCACCCCTACGGTTTCGGTGCACCTATTGGTGGTTCTGCTGCCGCTGCTTACGTCACTCTTGTTGCTGGGAAATGTAATTCATCTGCTCAGCACGTCCCTTGCGGCGAATACTGTACGCGTCTCTTTGAAATCTCTCTTTTCGCTTACTTCCTGCAGCAATGCTGCTTGTTTTCGCTTACTTCCTGCAGCAATGCTGTATTTTTTCTGCATGTTCAACACTTCCACAACGTCATGCACTTCACTGAAAACGTCCTTTTCGACCCAAGCTCGAGCCACAACAGACAGCAAAAGCAAGTTTCTCAGTAAGGCTGTTGGTTGTGCTGCTACATGTTGTGGAATGCTCCTGCAGCTCTTTGTACTGGACATAATGCTGATGCAACCGTGCATGCCACAGCCTCATGGCCTTCGAATGCCCCTCCGTTTCTACAAACTAACTAGTCCTGCTGCTGCTACCGCTGATGCTGCAGGCACTTCCGCTGCAGCGGATGCCACTATAGCTGCTGCCTGACTTCCTTTTTCTCTTGTTGCTCCTGAATTCTTGCCGATTTTGTCCGATTTTTGCCCTTTTCTCCACCTCCTCTGTGGGTCAAATACTACCTCATCAGCATTCATGCCCAAAAGACCTCTTTCTGTGGTTTGCGCTGCAGTAACAGCACGAAAAAGCATCAAACAGTCTGTGTGGCTAGCTTTCTTTCTGCTTCTGATTGTATACAGTTGATGCTGCTGTTCGTCGCTCACGTCTTCATGCATCTGTGTCCTACCAACACGTATCGCTTTTGTCCACATGAAGTGAATTTCCACACATACGAACGCCTTCGCCGTGCTGCTGTTCCAGATTATACTAGCGCTTCAGCAAAAGAGACACACTGGCTTGCTATAGGAGCCAGAGAATAATGCAATCATGCAGGAAGTAGAGCGGCCAAGCAGAAGCAGTTGAATTCGCTTCGGTAGCACCAGAAGCGCCAGAACATCTGAATAGTGCTGCTCACACTGCTCACCAATACTACATTTCGTTTGCGCTAGCCAGAAAGAACAGAATGACGCAATCATGCAGGAAGTAGAACGGCCAAGCCGAAGCAGTTGAATTGGCCTTTGCACCAGCAGAAGCGCCAGAACATCTGAGTAGTGCTGCTCCCACTGCTCACCAATACTACATTTCGTTTGCGCTAGCCAGAAAGAACAGAATGACGCAATCATGCAGGAAGTAGAACGGCCAAGCCGAAGCAGTTGAATTGGCCTTTGCACCAGCAGAAGCGCCAGAACATCTGAGTAGTGCTGCTCCCACTGCTCACCAATACTACATTTCGTTTGCACTAGCCAGGAAGAACCGAATGACGCAATCATGCAGGAAGTAGAGCAGCCAAGCAGGAGCAGTTGAATTGGCCTTTGCACCAGCAGAAGCGCCAGAACATCTGAGTAGTGCTGCTCACACTGTTCAC